GGGTCCGAGGACGAGGGCGACGCCGAGGGTGATGCCGGGGCCATTCGGAAGACGACGCGATATGAGATCTCCTATGAGAGGGAGCCGTCGCGTTAGGATGGACAGGGTGGGATGGAGCGGGGACTGCATGGGTTTGAATAGAGATTTATGGAAAATGCGCTATGTGAGGGACACTAGATCTAAGAAACCTTGGGAAAACTTCATTACTCAAGCTTCATAATCAAAGCCGTTCTTGAACTGAGTGTTTGGTTGAAGCTGATGGGCTCAATGGAAGAATCGCCAATGACTCGTGCCACCACGGAATGTGACTGGTCATGCGGCACGCCAACTAGGGCTTCGTTGCCGGGAGGTCAGTTGTCGATAAGAGTTTTGCTTTCTTGTGTGACTTGCCAACTGGATGAGGGCAGCCCGATATGTTCGTATACGAGCGCAGTATTGAGCAGAGCTGTAGGTTTCCCTCATAATCGGGACGACCGTCTATGGAGACAAATAGCATAGAAGCACCTAAACCCTCATCATTCCAACGACCTTCCCCGTGCTCATGGCCTTCAAAGCGCCCACTGACGTACGCTGTCTCAGTCTAGCCACGGTTCTCTACTATACAACTACTAAGCAAGGCAAGACATTCAACTCTGGTATCGATTGACCCTAGCAGCGCTCACGCTTAGTTAGTCCTAGTACGAAGGTCGATGTTAGAAATGCGGGCCAACTCCGAGCTGCGAAGCCAAGCAGCCGTCTACCCGCCGACGTTCGGGGGTTTCGCCTCTGCATACGCACGGCACCTGTCACCTGTCGAGAATGGGTGGCGATCTCATCGTGATCTGACGCACGATAAACTTTATGAGATCTCCGGCAACGAAACGGGCAGCTGACAGTTGACACGAAAAACGACCTTGCGACTCCCATCTTGATGATCTTGAATGTCCAGTTCTGCTCGAGGCCAAAGATCCCCTCATGACGGCCTCGTGAATGCCCGGAAAACCTACCCCCACGTTTGCTCCAGACATTGACTCGCCGAGGCTCCCGAGACGGAGAGCCTCCTCGACGAACCCGCCACGCGCGCTTGCGTGAATTCTGCCTACAGACGAAAACGACAGACCCGCCCGGCGGTCCACCCGAACGCTCGAAAGCTCGTCCCGGCAGACCTGCCAGGCGTTCCAGCCCTCGCCGCGGGCCCAGGACCAAGACCCGCGTCGAGCGCTAACGTCAGGTCCGGCACCCTCTAGCCAGACGCTCGGAACGGGGCATCGGGAGACGCGGGGCCTCGGCAGCCAGCACGACGGAGAATCTCTCTGCCCTGTCCGCGTACCTGTCTGGAGACGACGTCCCCGTTCTGGAAGATTTTGATTACGTCTTAGTGTCGAGCGATCCGGGCAGCCAAAGGCCCGGACCGGGAGCACTCGCTGTCCTCTAGGCGATGATGATGGCTATATAGAGCGCGACACCATGATGTGGTTTGGTGTTCGGACTCTTCTGTCAGCGCTCGAACCGGGACGGCTCAGAGACGCGCAAGACGCACAACCATGCTGACGGCAGAGAAGCCCCTCGACATGGCGTCCTCCCGCACGCTCGCCGACTCGGAGAGCCAGCTTTCGCAGGGCAAAGCGGCCGAGTCGAGCCCCTACGTCTACAAGGCCCACCACGCCAACCCGGTAAGAGGCCAGCAGGCGTCGAGACGAAGACGACGGGCACCGCCCGCGGGAGAACCAATGCTGACCATCAGGCGCAGGGCCCCCTCGGCTCGGCCGGCTTCGCCACGACGCTGATGGCGCTCTCGCTGTCGATGCTCGGCTGCCGCGACGTGTCCAACGCGACCGTCTTCATTGGGAACCTCTGCTTCATCGCCGGCATCGGCCTGCTCGTGTCGGCGCAGTGGGAGATGGTCCGGGGCAACACGTTCGGGTACACGACACTGTCGTCGTTTGGTGAGGAGCCCCCTCCCCAGTATCAGGTTCGTCTGTCAGCTGCTGATCAGACCATGGCGACAGGGCTCTACTACGCGGGCTATGGAGTGCTCCTCATGCCTGGCATGGGCGTCATCGATGCCTATGGCGGGTACACGGCGGAATACTACAACGCCTTCGGCTTGTACCTGCTCGGTAAGGACACGGCCACGATCATCACACAGCGGCATCACAGCGGAAGCGGAAGCTAACGGGCCCAGTCTGGTGCATACTCAACTCCTTCTTCCTGCTCGCCTCTCTGGCCATGTACGTCCGCCAAAGCCTCCCATCTCATGAACCCCCCTCTTCCCGAAGAAAAGAAAGAAAAACAGCTGACGCGGAAATCCGCCAGAAACGTCCCCAACATCATCATCTTCGCGGGCCTCGAGTTCTCCTACCTGTTCAACTGCGCCGCCCACTTCGCCATGGCCGACGGCAACACGGCCGCCAGTGCCGCCCTGACGCGCGCCGCCGGTGCGTTCGGCGCCGTGGCCGCCGCGTCGGGCTTCTACATGGTTGGCTACGAGCTTTGTCGAGACGTGTTCCCCTTTGAGCTGCCCGTGGGCGACACGTCGCGGTTCTTCGGCCGGCGGAAGCTGTGCTAGTGGGGAGGAGGGGGAAGAGGAGGGGACAGCGGCGCAGGTTTCGATAGTGTTGTCTTACTGATCTACCTTACCCAGTGCTTCCGACGGTCTTCGGTTGCTTTCACGGTTGGTGTGATCGTTGATGTGGCCTGCGTAATCTGACTGTCGAACAAGTCATTCGACTACTCTGCAAAGTTGATCATCACTGCGCGGTAGAGGCCTTCTGTGACATGAAACATGCCGCTCAATTGAACGAGGCCATGGACTCGCAACACGCCGTACAGACAAATAACGCCATCCAGGCATCCCCCGGCCGCCGGCCAAGCCTAGTCATCATCCTCGATATCATCATCACTCAACACCAGCCCCGAAACGCCCAAGCCGGAAACAGACACCTCGCTCACGGTGCGGATCCGCGCCGCCTTCTTCCGCGGCGACGCCTCCTCGGACGGCTTATCTGTCGCCCATGCCTCGCCACTCATCGGGCCCCCATCCGCCTCGGCCGCCTCGTCGCCGGACTCGACGTCCTCGCCCGCCCGCTGCGTGCCGATGCCCTGGAACGACACGACTTTTTCAATGTCCCGCAGCTTGATCGAGTGCAGGCCCCCCTTGCGACCGCGTGCGATCTGCGCCCATGTAGGGCAGCCGCTCGAGCAGCATCTCCCTGCGCGCGGCGCTCCCCAGCGACAGCAGAGGCGGCGCCTCGTGTGCGTCTGCGGCGCCGGAAGTGGTGTGCGAAGCCGATCCGCCACCGCCCTTAGCCTGGTGTGTCGCGACCCAGCTCCCTGCGCCTGTCGCCGACGCTGCGGCCTTGGGCTTTCGGAATGCTGCAGCGCCTTGTGTCAGGTCCTTCCGTGCGACGCTCTCCTCGCCCTTGAGCAGCTTTGTCGACCACACATCCACGAGCCCCTCAAACTCCTCCTTGGTACGCCACAGCTTGATGCTCGTCGGGTAGAACATCTTGAAAGCATCGCTGCCCCTGACGCCGGGAGGAGTCTTGCGTTTGACGGGCGACGGCAGCGAGAACAACATGCCGCGCACGGCGACCTGGAACGTCATCTCGTCTTGACGCAGAACATGGCTGCTCGAATCCTTGCCACCGTAGCCGCCTGAGGGGCCCCGACCGCCGAAGAAAATGTCCCAGGAGGGGCTGAGGAGATCGCTGAGAGAAAGATACTCGAGGCAGCCGTTGACGTAATCGAGAGACGAGTCGGGGTCGAGAGGACTCGGGCTTTCGCACGAGTAGAGGTAATTTTCGTGGAGCGCCGACACAAAGGTGTGCGTGTCGGTGCCCGTCTCGTCAATGAGAGCGTCGACGGAGACCTGCGAACGTTTGGGACGGGCGTGGTGTGTCAGGTAGCTCGGTAGGATTTCAACCGTGTCATTTTTGGGCGGCAGCTCGTCCCTCTTGTTGTAGACAACCTTGCCCACGGCGTGGAAGATGCCGAGACTGGCTTCTCGCTGTGATATGAGCTCGAGGCTCTCCTCTTCGCCTTTGGTCATGGCGAGCAATTCCTTCGAGCCTCTCTTGGCTTTCGTAAAGGCAACCTTGGCGCCCCAGTCGGCTTCCTGGTCGCCCTTGAGACAGAGAAACTCCAAGGAGGAGATGGCGCTGCGAATATCGCCAATCTCGCCGAGACGCTTGAGGACAAGAGGTCCCGGGGTGCGTTTCCGGCCCGATTTCCTAGCCTCCTTGATGACGACCAGCTCGAGAGCTTTGGCAAGAATGGACGGCGCTATCGCGTTAAACTCAATCACGCCGACTCCTGGATGGCGGAGGATTTCCGGACCGAGCAAGCGATGGGCTGTGAAGCTGTCTGCTGACGCCGACGTCGTCGTCAACAGGGTCTCCGATATGACCATGACCACGGGTGTGATGGTGGCGTTTTGTGACGGTCGTCCAAAGGCCGACAGGGACGGCGTGTTCGCCGCGAGGTACGCCAGCAGGGCATTTCTGAACGACGTCAGAGCCGTCGAGGAGCGCGCAAACGTGTTGGGGAACTCCTCGACCAGAATGATGCGCCGTGCGCCCTTGTCCAGCGCCTGTGTTGACGATTCTGAGCCACCAGTACCACCATCCATCTCAAGCTGGCCAAACTTGCCGCCGCGGCCGAGAAACTCCTGAAACTGAGCCGACGCCGACTGGAAGCCGAGGCCGCCGCTCGTCGGCCCCGTGGGATTCCTCCACTCCAGGAGCTCGCAGCCCAACTCCCGCGCCAGCAGGCGCATCGTCGTCGTCTTGCCAGCTCCAGCAGCGCCCTTGAGCAGCAGCACGCGCTGCCGCAAGCGCCCAGCCAGCACATCCTCCAGCCACCGCCGCACATCGACCACCTTTTTCTTGTGCACGGCCAACTCGTCGAGAGACACGGGGGCGAATCGCTCGGACCACGGCCTCAGGTCATCGTCGAGAGCCGCGGGGCGGCTCGGCCTCGGCGGTCGGAGGAATTTCTGGCTGCTCGAGGCCAGACCACCAGTCGTTGTTGTTGTTGCTGATATCGTCATCGTCGACGGGCCGCCGGACGTGCCGTCTCGCGAGCGTTTCCTCGCGTTCAAGCCGACGAAGCTCGCGCTGCCTGCTTTGGGCGCCACGTCATCTTCGGATATGGGATCGCTGACAATGTCATCGTCGAGGACGAGGGGCGCCGCGGGTTTCGACGGGGGCGGCGCCTTCTGTGCCTGCCTCGAGAAGAGGGCCAGCAGGTCGCCGGACCTGCCCTTCTCTTCCGTCTTCGAGGTCCGTTTGGGGGCCCGTGATCTGGGCTTCACGGGGCTAGTGCTGGGGCTTCTCGTGTCGTGCTTCAGGCCATTTCTGGATGTGCCTGTCTTCGGTTTCGTGGGGCTTGGGGAAGGTGTCGGGCGAGCGGAGGAGGGTTTCGTGGGTGATGAATTGAGGAAGTTGAGCAATGTGTTGGTGTGCTGAGGTCGGCCATGGTCTTGTTTGTTGTCGTGGTTGTTGTCGTGGTCGGGGTTGTGATCGTAGTCGTCGTCCGATTCGACATTCTTCTTACGGCGCTTTGCGGGCGGAGCCATTGCGGACGCTGGGAGTTGATCGTTCGCAGCAAGCGACACTGGTTAGGTTTGTGATTGAGACATGGAGTCGAGCATGGTACGGCAGGCTTGGCGGTGCGAGGATGGTGGCAGGAGAAACGATTCGGAGGTGTAGGTTGGAGGATGGCAAGGCTGACACGGGCAGGCAAGAGGCAAGGCAGGCAGAAGCAGCTCAAGATGATCTCACCGTGCTACTGGTCATGGGTGGGGCGAGCTGCTGCTGTCTCTCCAGGGGCGTGGGCGCTGTAATTTCTGGGGGTGCCACCCACGAGATCGGTACCTGAGATGCGCCGTGAGCTTGGTACTTCCGCTACGGTGGGCTTCTCATGCCAGAATCACCACGGACGAGCTCAATGCTCATGGCATTCAAGATGGCAGCATTTACAAACTCAATCACCAAAATCAAATTCGAAAAACATCAATGAAATTCATCATGTAAAGTACGTTCCAAATGCCTCCATAGCCCTTGACCGATCGTGACCTCGCCTTTCCCGTCACACCATTGTGCTCTTCAGACTAGCATTACTTACAATCTCCCTCGCATCTCACCCAATTCCCCTTCATGGCATCACCATCAATCAAACACCCACCCCTCAAACCCATCGACAAATGTCACAGCCGCCGCGAGATACCTCTCATGCACGTCACCCCACGTCCTCGCCGCCTCCTTCATGGCCCGGATCGCTGTCTCGCGTCAGTACCTGTGTCCTCCACGCAAGATTCCCAGAGCACCAGAGCATACCTTTGACATAGTGCGCATCGGACGCGTGCCGCGAGTGCAGCGCCTCATGCTCAACATGCGCCCACCCCCGGCCCTGCGGCACGGGCTGCACATAGTCCTCGTCGATGCGCGGCCGGCCCATGGCGGCGTACACGGCCACCGTCAACAGCCACCATTCGCGCACGAGCGCCACGTGGAACCTGGCCGGCAGCACCGGCAGAAGGATGCGCACGGCGTGGCTCGTCGTCAGCAGGTGCACTGTGAAAAAGTTGTAGGCGTGCGTGCCTGGCTTCACCGTCGCCACGAGCAGCGCGACGGCCGCCTCCTGCGACTTTTGGAACTGCCGGACGGGGTCCTCGCTGTCGTCGTCGGCAACGGCCCAGGCGTTCCAGTACTCGAGCACGAGGTCCTCGTGCTTGCCGAAGAGGAGGTCGATGTTGTCGAAGCCTGGCGCCGCGAAGAGGCCGTCGAAGCGCGCGTCGCTGGCCATCCTGTGGAGGATGTCAACGGGCGAGGTTGACGAGAAGGGCGCCGGCCTCGTGTACTTCTTTTCGTCTAGGTACTTGTGAAGGTAGTTGTACTGGACGCACGAGAGGGCGAGGGCCTCGATGGCGATCTCCTTGGCGTTCATCTCGTAAGCATAGCCCAGGTGGATGAGGGGGTGGCCGACTGTCTTTGTCAGTGGACGGAGGGGGAGACGAAGGAAGAACGACATCAAAAACAACAGATACAAGGAGAGAGAGGGAGCGAGGCAGAGAGGCAACGAAATCAAGTGGACGTACGCCCGCCGATGAGCCCGTGGACTAGAGGCTGGTCTCCCTTCAGCAGATAGTGCGCCATGACCGTCTTCCAGTCATAGTTGAACTGCAGGGCGAGGCCGTCCTCGAAAAAGTCGACATAGGCGCGCTGGTACCGCTTGTCACCGAGAAAGTCCTGCCAGTCTTCCTCGATGACCTCGGCCGGGGAGTCCTGCCAGGGCTCGAGCTCTTTCGAGACCGTCTCGTACATGCTGTGCAGCTGGTTCTCCGAGGCGCCGAGGAGATACGCCGAGCAGAGAATGTGGGCGGCGTGGTTGTCGAACTGCAGGTTGTGGTAGACGATGGCGTGGTTGACGTGGTTTGCCTTGATGAGGTGCTTGAGACACCGCGCTCGCTTCTCGGCGTCAGTCTCGACGTTATGCACCTCGACGGGCGGCAGGTCGATGGCCCGAGGGGCATCATCAGCGCCGGCGACAAGACGGCCGAGGAGGGGCACATGGGCGAGGAAGGACATGGTGAGCGTATGCAGATGTCGGTCACTGCGAGATCCGTTCAGATGGAGATGCTGCGATGCGTGCTCAGCAGCGTGCGTGGGTTGGCGATGAGAGGCCCAACGGATAAAGTCAGAGCAGAGAGGAGGCTCCAGAATGTTGGGGCGCTGAAGCTTCCACTAGGGTCCTGGATCGTGACGTTTTAGTGGGCTGCGGTGGGCTGCAGTGGACAGCCTCGTTAGGCAGTGGCCGCGGGGTCGTTCAGTGGGGCACCGTCTGTGCTTGAGGTGGGTGACGGTACCTGACCTTGCCATGAGGTACGCGGTACCCAGACATCACCAGCACTAGGACGCCACAGCTACAGGAGAGGTACAGATACAGGGAGCCGGGGCGACCCACCCAGGCCGGAGCAGCTCCGTCCATCGCCGCTCGTGACCCACTATAACATCTCCGTTATTCGGATTTCATGATGCCGACATTGACTGAGGTACTTGAAGGTGAGGCGCCTAGGCAAAGGAAATCAACTGATGAGCCTACAATTAGATACACACGTCACTCACAACTCACTGCTTGTATCCAGAAACAGGATATCCCACGAGCTTCCACGCGTGCGAGGGCAAGAAGTTCTTCTCCGTGTACTGCTCGAGGCTGAGGCACTTGGCTGTGTTGTGTCACGTGTTCTACCTCACCGGCGGCGACACTACCCTGGTTCAGAGGCTCGCGCCCGAGATTCTGATATCCTCATCTCGTCTCCCCGTTCGCTTGAGAGCGGCAGTAGAAAGACTCCCGGTGGCTTGGAGTCATGGCAGCTCCTCAGAGCCTAGACGAGCTGGGAGGTCACATCGTCCAGCTACAGGCCAGCGCAGGTGCGCGAATGCCGCTGATGGTGATGTTCCAGTGATGACACGGGGCCTGCGCTGGCCCACCGCTCCAACAGCTCAGCCACGGTAATGCTCCGGTCTGGTCATATCGTTGGTGCCCTTAGTTCCCGGCTGCTGGACACGCACGGTGAAAATTCTTGACTAGCTGAGTCTACGTCTGACACCTCAGAGGTGAGAGCCCGGCAATGTTTTGCTAGTCCGGTGGTGTCGGTCTGGACTGTAGTCGGGCTGGCCACCGAGCCAATCGTTTCCGGGCCGGGATGACACTCGTTCCTGATTTACCCCGACGCTCCAATTGATCCCACGAGGCTCTCGGTTCTTCTCACTGATGAAATCATGCAGGCCATTGGTCGTGGTCCGGTCGAAGTAGTCCCGGCCTGGGCGTACCAGGTGCAGCACGCCGTGCTGTTTGCACACGCCCACGAAGCACGGATTGCTGGGTGCGTGATGGGCCTGTGAGTTGAGGGGAAGGGAGTTCAACATACAAATGAAGATGATGCATGACAGGTGGCCTGCGGTGGGCGACTGTCTCATCTTTTGCTCATGACGCTAGGATGTGTTCAGTAGTACTGCGCATGGGCTCCGTCGAGCAATTGAGGAGCAGACAGCCGAATCGTGGCATCATCGATGATCTGTGAACGTTCTTGACCTGGAGGCCTGCTACCTCCGTATATCGTGAGTAACAGCTACTAATACACGGAACGGTGTACATGCAAAGCTGCGCATTTCATGTATGTTTTGGACACTACAGCACCACGCTCACAAGTCTCGCCGAATATCACCCATAAGGCCCGCATCATCAGCTTCCACCATGGCACGCAACGTCTGCATCACAGCCGCCGAGGGCCAAACCGGCTTTCTCATCGCCGAGCTCCTGCTCAAGCACTCCCTTTCGCGCAAAGTCGACTCGGTGACGGCCTTCACCATGGACCCGACCTCGGACCGCGTCAAGGCGCTCGACTCGCCTGGCGCCACGGTTGTGTCTCGAGGCTGAACCATACTCACCCATGCGCGCAGGTCACATGCTCTGCGCAGGCAAGTAGTCGAACACGGCAGCATCCGAGGTTCTCAGGACAAATATTGATTTGAGAACATCTCCCGGTAAGTGCAGCGATGCTTACCTGGTTGGAATGCCAAACAGTAACGGCGAATTAGAGCCGAAGCTGAGAAGGTGCTGCAAGCCCTGTCTGAGAGCGATAACATGGAACGGCAGTCCATACTCGATTACTTCAGCCTCGTGCGCAAGGGCAAGATCAGCCCGACAGCGTTTCACGACGTCACGGGAACCCACCCCACCGAGCCGACCGGTTTCTTCAAGATGCGCTCGGGGTTAGTTCAAGACGGCCAAGCGTGGGAACGGAGTCACTGAGGTAGCCACGAGGCGGCAACTGAGGGCAGGTTTCGCATGGTGGGGGTGTTAGACGGCAAGTCTATGGCTGTGGCAGTGCTTTGTGTTGTCACAAGAGTTCCGAGTTTGTCAGAAGACTCTGGCGAAAGAATGAGAAGACTCCGGTAGTGTACCCAGCCAGAGATGTAAATCATAGGTGAAAGAAGACACACAATTGATTCATCTTACTTAAGCTCAAATGCCCAAGTTGGTGACTGCTGTCGGGGACAACACTGGTAGCCGGACCACTGCTAAGGACCATGATAGATCTTGTGAAAAACATCGACGTACAGTGCTATTTGACGGTTAGACAAGCTGTGCTCTCGATACGTGGCCAGCAACGAGGAATCGAGTACGTTTAGCAAGTGACGAATCTACAGAAGAAAGTGTGTCTCTCCATTGTATTCAGGAACAGATTGCAGCTTTCATACCTGGGTTTAATGGCATCTCCGTCACGGTCGTGTCATTCGCATCAGCATGGCCAGCTGCCGCCGTCGGCACCAGCCGGCCACCCAGTCCCGCCAACAGACCCGAACAGTCGGGACAAGTACATCGAGACGGTGCAAGACGTATCCCGAAACCCCCCCCCCCAAGAAGACCAAGAAAAAAAAACCATCCTCAAGCATCCACGGGCATCAACAAAAGGAACAGAGAAAGAAGGGAAAAAAGAAGAAGGTCGGAAACCCACACAGCACGGCCATTCTCTCCGGCGGTTCCAAGTCCCTGGTACCACTGCCCCCCCCCTGGCGCACGAACCAGACAGCCGGGACCATCACCAACCCACCCCTCGTCATCTCCACGCCCAGCACTGACCAGCAGGCATCACATGTTCCCTCCTCGAATCCCTCGTATAGGTAGCAAGGGAGGAAGGAAGCCCGTTCTCGCGTGCTGCCTCTCTCCGCCGCCAGGTCAAAAGTGGATAAGCCTCGCACCCCTGCCCGGCTCGGCAGAAGCCGCGCAGAGCGCCGCGCGCTCCGGGCTGCTGGGTCCCCTTTTAGATCACATAGGCACCGCAGGCAGAGGATGGACGAGGACATCACGAGGGGGGCCTCCCACGGACAAGGGGGCAAGGCAAAGAAGGGGGTCAAGTG